ATTCTTCCACCTCGTTAACCCTCGTCGTTAGGACTTCTAGTTTGGAATGCATCTCATTCAATTGATTTTTAATTTCTGCGTGATTGGATCTAAATTCTGCAGTCATGAAGTCTCTTGAGTCCTTTATGCTTTTTTCTAGAGCCACCAGTAGCTGTATAATAGTGCTTCTGAATTGGCTTTCTGACATTGAATTGTAATCCAGATTTTGTAACTCTGTGGGAGAGAGGGCTGTTTCTGATTCTTTCTTTTGAGGTGAGGTTTTCCTTCTAGTCATTTTGCTCAGTGCAGAGTGCCCAAAAACAAGTTGTATTGGGAAAAGGAGAAAGAGAGAGAGAGAAGGAAAGAAAAGAGAAAAAGAAAAAAGAAAAAAAAGGAAAAAAGAGAAGAAAAAGAGAAAGAAAAAGAAAGAGGTGAAAAAAAAAGGGGTGGGGGAAGCAATCAGAAATCAAAAAGAAAAAAAAGAAAAAAAAAACCACGGGGGAGTATCTTCTGAATCTGTAGACTTTAAGTCCCTTGACTTCCCCTGGAACTGGTCCGTCCAGCTGGTCTTCTGGGGGAGGGGCCTGTTGTGCTGAGTCTCAGGTGTTAGCTCTTGGGGGAGCTGCTCTGCCCCTGGCTGGTGCAGGGCTCAGTGGGGGTTGTTTACCCCGTGAGGCCCCAGGAGGAACAGCCACAGTGGTTATGGCAGCTCTGGAGCCTGGATTCAGCCCCCGCAGGAACTACGGGGCTCTCCGTCTGCAGGGCCTGGAGGCTCCGGGGCGGGGCCGCTGATCTGCTCAGCTCGGGGCAGGAGCGTCCTCGCTGTCCTGGGCCCTCCCGGCCTCTGCCTGTCCCGGGGGAGGCTGGATCCTGGGCTGTGTCCCGGCGCCCTGTGCTCCGGGGCCTGCGCTGTTGGATTCGCGCTCCCGGTCGCGCAGCCGCCGCTCTGCGGCGCCGCTCGAGCCCCTCCGAGCTGCTCCCGGAGCCCCGCAGCCCCCTCCGCACGGAGCCTCTTCCTCTGCTGGAGCCGCCGCCGCCGAGCTGCTCCCGGAGCCGCGCAGCCCCCACCGCGGAGCCGCCGCCCAAGCCCCTCCGAGCTGCTCCGGGTCCCGCCGTGTGCGCTGCAGCCCTTAGGGAGCTCGGCGCACTCTCCCGGGGCGCAGGTGTGTCTGTTAGTGTCCCAGGGAGCCCGAGGGCATCCCCGCCCTCCTGGGTCCTGCTCTAACTCCCTGCGAGGCCTTTCCGCCCGGGAAGGTTGGTGCAGCTCCTGCTTCTCCGGGACGGGGGTGGGGTGGGGGGCTCTCCTGTCCTGGGGACACTCGCCCCGGCCTCAGCCCGGCTCCTCGCAGGGCCCCTCCCCCTCGGAGGCCTTTTGTTTCTCTATTTCTCTTTCCCCGTCTTCCTACCTTGATAGAAGCGCGAACTCTTCTCACTGTAGCGTTCCAGCTGGTCTCTCTTTAAATCTCAGGCCGAATTCGTAGATTTTCAGGATGATTTGAAGATTAGGTAATTTGATGGGGACAGGTGTTTGGGGACCCTACTCTTCTGCCATCTTGCCCCTCCTCGAGTCTTAAGATTTTTATACATGATATCCTGTCATCTGCAAATAGTGATAGTTTTACTCCTTCACTTCCTATCTAGGTGTCTTTTATTTCCTGCCAAACTTCCCTTGTTAGATCCTCCAGTACAATGTTAAATAGAAGTGGTGAGAGGGGACATCTTCATCTTGTATCTGATCTTAGGGGAAAGCATTTAATCCTTAGCCATTAATGGTGCTGTGGGTTTTTTGTAGATGCCATTTAAGAATTGAGCAAATTCTCTCTATTCCAAGTTTGTTGAGTGTTTTTTTTTTTATTCATTTATGATAGTCACACACACACAGAGAGAGAGAGAGAGGCAGAGACACAGGCAGAGGGAGAAGCAGGCTCCATGCACCGGGAGCCTGACGTGGGATTCGATCCCGGGTCTCCAGGATCGCGCCCCGGGCCAAAGGCAGGCGCCAAACCGCTGCGCCACCCAGGGATCCCCGAGTGTTTTTATTACAAAGAGAAGTGTTAAATTTTGTCAAACTCTTCGCACCTGTTGAAGTGTTCATGTGGCTTTTGGTTTTAATCCTATTGATACAATGGGTTAGATCAATTGATTTTCACATATGGAACCAACCTTGCATTGTTCGGATTAATCCCACTTGGTTATAGTGTGTATTTTTTAAAATATATATCCTTAGATTCCATTGGCTAGTATATGTTGAAGATTTTGTATGTGTATTTGTGAAAGATTAGTCTGTTTCATTTCTTGTGGTGTCTGATGTCTCATTTTGGTATAAGGGTAATAATACTGCTCTTAATGAATTGGGAAGCATTCTTTCGACATCTTTTTTTTTTTTTTTTGGAGTCTTTGTAAGGGATTGATATTTATTGTTCTTTAAATGTTTGGCAGAATTTACCAGTGAAGCTGTCTGGGCATGGCCTTTTCTTTGTTGGAAGTTTTACAATTGTTCATTCAATCTATTAGCTTGTTATAAGGCTATTCAAAAAACTTTCTTGAGTCAGTTTTGCAAGATTGTTTCCAGGAATGTGGCTTTTTCATCTATGTTACATAATTTGCTGGCTTGTAACTATAGTATTTTCTTATGATTCTTTTTATTTATGTAAAGTCAGTAGTGTATTTTTTTCATTCCTCATTTTAGTAATTTTAGTCTTTTCTCATTTTTCATGGTCAGTTTACTTAAAGGTTGTGAATTTTGTTGATATTATCAAAGTTTTTGTTTGTTTTTTCCCTCTTTTTTTCCAATGATCTTTTAAAGTTACTAAAAATAAGAAAAAAAGATCTTTTGTATTTACCCACTAATTTTCAGTAATCTTTGTTTCTTTACACAAATCTAAGTTTCCATCGTAACATATTTCTGCTTGGAGAACTTTCATTCTTTTAACTCAGATCTGCTGGCAATGAGTTCTCTCTGCTTTGGTTATCTGGAAGAATCTTTGTGTTCATTTTTGAAAGATATTTTGCTAGATACAGAATTTAAGGTTGACTTTTTTTTTTCAATGCTTTAAGGACATCACTCCATTATTCTGTCTTGAGTAGTTTGTGATGAAAATAATATACTGTTGGTCTTATCTTTGTTTTTCCTTTTTCTGGCTGTTGTCAAGATATTCTCTTTCTCTTTGGTATTGAGCAGTTTGTGAAGTGTGGAGAGATTTTCCTCAGCTTGGGATATTTTATTTTATTTTTAAAAAGGTTTTATTTATTTTTTATTAATGAGAGATACAGAGAGAGAGGCAGAGACACAGAAAGAGAGAAGCAGGCTCCATGTAGGGAGCCCGACGCGGGACTCAATCCTGGGTCTCCAAGGATCACACCCTGGGCTGAAGGCAGGCGCCAAACCGCTGAGCCACCCAGGCATCCCAGCTTGGGATATTTTAAATGTCTTGAATATGTGGTTTGTTTTTAAAAATTCTCAAGCATTTCCTCTTTAAATACTTTCTCTATTCTTTCTTCTCCGGTACTGAGAGACCAAATATTTGTATTTTAGTCTCCTTAATACTGTTAAAGACTTTTACTGCTTTGTTCTGTTTTTGTTTTTGGTTTTTTTTTCCACTCCTTTTCTTCTTTGTGTTTTACTTTGGATAATTTCTCTTGACATGATTCTTTCGTTCGTGTTCCTTCTGCTCAGAAGCCCATGTAGGTTATTATTTATCTTCAATATTATGATTTTTTAAAAATGTTTTTGTCATTTCCATTTGATTCTTTTATAGTTTCTATCTCTGTGAAAAGTCCCCCAATTTGTTGATGAATTTTCTCCAACTTTATACAACATCCTTTAACATATTAGTCATATTTGTTTTAAAGTCTCCATCATAGTCCAATCTCTAGGCCTTTTCTGATTCTGATTCTGTTGATTGCTTTAGCTCTTGACAGTGGGGTTTTTGTTGGTGGTGGTTTTTTGGCCCTTTGATCTTATGTGTCTATAAATATTTATTGAGTGTTGGATATTATGTTTAAAAAAATAAAGGGACCAAGGTTTTTTCTGTTTTATTTTGTTTTGTTTCTAAGGTTTTATTTATTTATTTGAGAGAGCATGAGCAGGGGAAGGGAGGGACCAAGGTTAATTGTATTGATGCCCAGAAATGTGCACACTTATTATTTTGTCAGGCCATTAATGTGAGGTTTTGAGTCTGATCAGTAGTTGACTAGCTGGGTTTTGTATTTTTGTTCTTGATAGTTAATTTCAGTAAGTCACTAACTTATTTTTTTAGTGGCTTTTTTAAAGTGACTTTTACCACCTTATGTTTAGTGTAGGGTTTGGGACCCTGGAGGGTTTTTCTCAGTGTTCTTGCTGCATTGTCAGTTTTCAGCAGGCCCTACACACCTTGTCACAGGGGAATCTCTGTGCTCTTGCTCAGCTCTCAGAGGTAGATTGCTCTGGTTTTATATTCTAGTCAAGACTTTGGTTACGGAGGAGAGAGAATTTGGTTCTCCTCCTGGAGCCTTAGTTTTAGGCAGTCCCTTGACACCTGAGTGCCAGAATGGGCATTATTAATGTTCCTTCCCCTTCTCCCACCTCTCCCGACAGCTTGGTATCAAGAGAAGGAAAAACTGTCTTAACCCCTCTTTAAACAGCAGCAACCTTTGCTTTTTATCAGTGTAAGATCTTGGGCCCAACCTGGCTTCAGACTGCCCCCAGCAGCAGGTGGCTGGTTTTTTCTCCCTCTCTTTCAGTGACAGCTGACATTTGCCAGTGACCAGAGGGTGGGCAGATTCCTGCCCCTCATCCAGTAGCAGCTAGCTTTGTTTCTACCCCTCTTTGACCAGAAGCTCGGTTTTTTTCTTGGGCAGCGGGCGTCAGAGTCCTCAGATATTTAAAACTTACCGTTACTATCTCTCTATGTATCATATTTCAGGGTTGTCTATTTAGAAGATTAGTTACCTGGTAAGCATAGGACATTTAATGAATTTAGAGAAGAATGCTCACTATTTGATTACTGTTATAATATGCCAATATGTCTGTTCTTTTACAGCTTAGGCTTGATTTCCGACTCTTTTCACATGTTTTTCGATAGCACTGCCATTTTGGCTGGATTGGCAGCATCTGTTATTTCAAAATGGAGAGATAATGATGCTTTCTCTTATGGGTAAGACTTTTAAAAAACTTTTTTTATTAAAGTATAAGAAATACAGAAAATGCACAAATCTTGAGCACATGAATGTTCACAAATTTAACATATTTGTGTAACTTGAACCCTTAAACCCCCTTCTCATGCCTCCTCCTGGTTTCTTCCCATGTAGCACCCCAAGGGTAACAACCACTTCCCCAACTTAGTAGATTCATTTTACCTATTTTTGAATAGTCTTTAATTGGAATGTACAACATATACCTCTCTCTCTCTCTCTCTCTCTCTCTCTCTCTCTCTCTCTTTTTTTGTATCTAGTTCTTTTGCTTAGAGGTAAGACAGATTTTTTGCTAGATGGGGGATTTTCTTAACTCTTAACCTATTTTTTTTTTTAGAAGAAGAAGGTTTCAGTATATGAAAATAGTCATGTTTCTTTTTCTTTTGTAAAGGGATATTTTGCTATTAATTTATTTAAATTAATTGTTTCCTAATATGATTTTATATTACCCTCTTCAGCTCTGCTTTTATGAAAAATACTCCTTTTTATACTCTTGCTCAATTTGGATAATTAATCAAATATTTGGAGAGTGTTTCTATGCTGGAGAGACTATATTGGAACATCTGCTCTCACTTCTGAGCCTAGGAGTATTTAGAGGCCAAGTTGGCCTTTTGCCATCTCTGATTGGGGGAAGCAGCAGAGTGTCCAGTGTTTGACTCTGCCTGAGTGTTTTCTTTTTTGAAGTCATACAATATTTTGCAGTGCAATTATTATTTATGTGTACAGCTCTCAAGGATAATATCCTCTTTCTCTGTCTCCCCCCTCTTTCTCTTCCCGGCTCCCCATTCTCCCTTCTCACTTGTTGACCCTTTCCTCTCTGTCCCCCTTCCTTGTGAGTGCTTTCTCACAGTCTCTCCTTTCTTTCCTCCCCTGTTTTCTTTCACTCTCATCCCCATACTTATCCTCTGTCATCTCTCCTGAATTCCCTTCTCCCCTCTCTTGTTCTCTCTTCCCTGTTCCTTGTGTCCGTGCTCATGGTCTTTCCAGAGTCCTCAGCCTTCCACTCTCCCCTCCCTCTTTCTCTCCTGCACATCTCTCCCTCTACCTGTAACCACTGTATCTCTCAGGCTCTTTCTTGTTCCCCCTCCCTCTCTCTGAATGCCTTAATCTTAGTTCTCTCCTATTCTCTTTCCTTCTCTCACTGATCCTCCCCTGAGGTGTCTCTCATTCTCTCTCCTGCCTGCGTCCATCCACTGTCTTAGGCACACTGCTTTGTTCTCTCTTTTTACTCTTGTTCCTTCTCGGCTTCCTCTTTCCCTTCACCTTTGCTTTTGTTCTTGAGCCAGCATGCATGCACTTTCTCTTGTACATGCTCTTGTTCTCCAGATATTTATTGAGAGCCCACTAGGAGTCTAATCTTTTGCTGCTTATAAAGACAAATAAGATATGGCTTCTGCCTTGGAGGAACTTGTGCTCTAATGGGGAAATAGTGCTGTAAAAACATAGTAACTATGTTGTGACAAGTGCTGAAACAAGGGTAAATAAAATTCTGTGACAGAACTTACTGATTTGGGGTTTAACTGAAGTGATGTGGTTATTTGTAAAATTACAAAAAGTCAGACAAAAACCACTAATTCTACTGTTTTTGTAGACTACAGTGAGGGATCTGTATATCTATAAATTCAAACAGCTCAAAAGAGAACATTTTCCATGACTATGCAATCAAAAAATTCTTAGTATATTTTGAATCATTAAAGAAAGATTGCGTGTAAGATTCTAATCTTGTGTTGGAAAATTAATAATTTATATATATTGTATATCAAAAATCTGATTAGAATATCTTAAGTTTTTGAGAAAAAAATTTTTTAAATTATTTTTCAGGATAAACAGGTAACTATAAAAATTCTCAGTTCCTTAAATCTAAGTGTATCTATTATTTTCTATTTAGAATACATAATCTCCCACTGTAAGATGGTTTTTAGGAATAGCTTTGAATACCTTCAGTACCATAGCAGGTTTTACTATTCAGCGTTAACTAGTTTATATAAAGGAGTGATATGCCACCTTTTTTGCCATCTTTTTGTTTCTTGTTTTGTCTTCTTGTTTGCTTTTTTCTTTTGAGAAGGGAAAAATTAGGGAGTAAAATCTGATGCAACATTTGAATCTATTAATCATTGCTACAGTAGTTAAGTAGCAGTGCCAGTAAAATGTTAAGTACCAGTACATCAAAATGACACTGAATAGGCTAAGCCTAAAGATGAATCCCCAATACCTGCCCCGTTCCCCACCCCTGGTTCAGTATGATCACAGTAGCCGACTGACTGCAATAGAAAAATAATAGCAGAGGGGCACCTGAGTGGCTCAGTGGTTGAGCATCTATCTGTGTTTGGCTCAGAGCCTGATCCCGGGGTCCTGGGATCGAGTCCCACATCACACTCCCCACAGGAAGCCTACTTCTCCTTCTGCCTCTCTGTGTCTCTCATAAATAAATAAATACAATCATTAAAAATAATAATAGAAGAAATATGAGAGGCAGAAGACTTTTCTGTATTTGTTTATAGAAAAATCATCTTTGTGTCTGGTCACACTCCTATTTTTAAAATAGTAGTGCCAGCATAAAAGTAATATATGTCTGATAGCTACATGCATATGTACATGCCTTTATATATATGTACATACACTGTATCTTTTTTTTTTTTGCCCTGGCTAAAGAATTCAGATGTCTTCATACTTAATGAGGCAGTAGCAAATTTATGAATGTGGTATGTTTTAATTCCAAGACTCACTGTGTTCAAGTAAACAGTCATTTGTAAAGGCAAGTATGTCTAGTTTTCACAAGTTTTTCACTTGAATTCTGTAACCAAGTTCAGCAAATATCTTAAGCCTAATTAAATCACTTTAGACCAACAGTTTGTCAGAATTTATGGAGTACCTACTGAGGTAGACATTAGAGACAAAAAGATGCCTGAAAAACATTTCTACCTTTGATCTTGAAGTCTAATGGAACTCAAGGACAAAAGGCTTTCGCATTAACTATGAGAGTAGAAGAGTGGGTTAAAAGAAAATGCTTTTCATTTTAGGTTAGTAACCCTGCTGATATATTAGATAAGTTCCTAAGTGTTTGCTATGGAAAGCAAGCTGAATTTAATGAATGTTCTCTCATGAAAGATAAAAAGGCATATGTTCTGACAAATATTATGTAAATTTAATTCATTTGTATGTGTTAGAAGGTAGAAGTATGCATTATTTCTGAGTGCAGAAATATATGCTATGTTGGAGTGTACTGACAGAGCAAACTCCAATGTAACTGAATAGAGTACATTTTAAAGAGTTTGTTCTCTTTACTTTAAACATTTTTTATAGTAAAAATTGTATTATCTAGAAGTTGACATAGAAAGCTAGAAAAAGCGGTATTTTTGATGCTCCTATTATTTTTGTTTATGGACCAGAGTAATTAACTGCTGTCAGCACCCTTTGAATAATGTTAGGACATGTAAAACTGCCAGATTAAAGTTGGTTCTCATGACTTTAATAGCCAGATAATACCTTATGGAAAAAATAAAATCTTTCCCCGATGCTTCATGCAGGTAGGAAGCAGAAAGCTTCAGAAGTCCATGGAGGAAAAGACAGATCTTTTAAAAATAATTTAAGTAGTATCATATGAAGCTAGAATTGATTCTAAAAATAGGTAATTGAAAATTTTTTGTTAGATTTATTAATCTTAGAAAAGAGTGGTAGAAGTATAAATCTCAAAGTTGTCTGTAGGATGACTCAGAAATAATTTTATTTTCCTTCAAATCAAAATTCCATTTTCCAGAGATTTGAAAGCTGAAAGGTACAAAACAAAAAGTATAAGAAGTTCTTAGAAAAGAAGCAGTAAGTTCAAAAAACCCTTCTTTTTCTTCTACTTTTTATCTCTCGATCTTTCCTTCTGTGCCTATTTGTCTAGTCCAGGGGCGACTTGAGATTTACATTTCTGTGGAAGAGGTCTTTCTAAATCTACTTACTCTAAGAAGATCTTTTGATTGGCTTGCAGAAGTGAATGTATTTTGTGGTATTGTGCTATTATACATAATTTGTAATAATTCATTTCCTCATTTCTACTATATATATATATATAGAATAAAACACTATATTATAAATACTAGGACTTTGCTGGCTGCTTATATAATGTGGTTTAGAATTTCTGATTGTATATAAATTTATGATTTGATTTTTAAGAAATGATAATTCAATTGTTTGCTCTTCCTTAGGTATGTTAGAGCGGAAGTTCTGGCTGGCTTTGTCAATGGCCTATTTTTGATCTTCACTGCTTTTTTTATTTTCTCAGAAGGAGTTGAGGTATTGTAAATAATGATTAGAGTCAGTAAATTACATTTCTAACAAAAATGTTTATGAACTAAAGATACATGTGCACTGTTTTCACACTATTACTGAGGACAGTCTTAGGTTAGATAAATTATTGTATAAGAGAAGCTTACAAAAAAAAAAGAGCTTAGAAAGTAGTTGAAAAAATTAAATATATGTGAAACTACTTGAAATTCAAAACAATTAAATGGTATGAATGAAGCGTTAACTCTGAAAAGTAAAGGCACAATCCGGGTAGTGAGGTCTGTTGGGAAGAGTTCTTAAAATAGAACCTGAGAGTTTTGCCAGTGAACTTTTATATTTGGTATATTTAAAAAAAGAGAGAGAAAATTGAAAAATCAATGAACTTAAAATGAATGGCAGTATTATTTAAGATACCAAAGAGGGATGGGTTTTAGACCAAATAGTCATGCTTTTAAATATTGGTGTTTATTTAAAAATAATAACTATTACCTTGTCTGCATTAAGTGAGCACTGTTTTTTTTTGTTTTTTTTTCCTCTATAGACTGTTTGGCATATATTTTTAGAATGCTTTTCATTTTGAAAATAACTAAAAAATTTTAAAGATTGCTTTTTGTTTTGACCAGTTGATCAATCAGAAATTATTTCAATTCCCTTTTTTGTATTATGTGTTTTCTAGAGAGCATTAGCCCCTCCAGATGTACACCATGAGAGACTGCTTCTTGTTTCAATTCTTGGGTTTGTGGTAAACCTAGTAGGAATATTTGTTTTCAAGCATGGAGGTCATGGACATTCTCATGGCTCTGGTATGATGGTTAGAACCCTTTGTTTCTTCATTTTCTCTTTTCCATCATAATTATCACTTTTGATATCATTCAATATCACATTTGAAAATTGATAAATTCAAATTCTATGCTGATCTTTAATAACAGAAATAATATGTTAATAGATTCTTATTTATGTCTTCCAAAACCATCACTCCCACTTCTCCATCTTCCTCCATCTGAGTATCATCTCAAGATTACATGCTATCAAGTTTGGTGTGGATTCCTCCAGACCTCTGTAGCTTATCTGTTTAGTATGACACCACTTATATAAAACCAACAAATAAACTTTAAAAATCACAAAATAAATCTAGCTAGTAAAAACTATAGTGTTTGTGGGTATGAAATTTATTATACCATCTGTCTTTGAAATCCTGCTATTTGGTATGCATCAGTCCACTTTCTCTTGTTAACACATGAAACTCCATGGTGTCGGATACTGTGGCTTATTTAACTAGTCTTCTGTATATACACTTTTTAAGTCCTTTCCATATTCATATCCTTGTGAACATATGCAAGTGTTTTTCCAAAGCTGTACTGTCCAGTTTGGTAGCTGTTAGTCACATGTGACTGTTTAAATTTAAATTACAGTTACTTAAATTTAATAAAATTAAAAATGCACTTCTTCAGTTACACAAGTGATAGTTCAAGTGCTCAGTAGCCACATAGCGCTGTCATATTGGATAGCATATATAGAACATGTCCATCATCACAGAATGTTCTTTGAATTGCACTGTGCTGGAATATAAATAGAGTTGCTGGAACACGGGAAGTACAGTTTTTAGTTTCAATAGACAATAGCAAATTGCCCTTCCAAAATGACTGTCATCCACATTTACCCTGGCAATGAATGCCAATGCTAATTTCTCCCACTCACATTAAAACTTATTATTATGGGTTTAAAACTATTTTGCTAATACTTTGATAAAAATGATACCTCATTTTATTTATTATTTCTCTGACTAGTAATGAGGTTGAAAATCTTTCTGTATGTTTTTAGGCCATTCAAGTTCTTCCTCTTCTAAAATTGTCGATTTATTTTTGCTTGTTTTTCTGTGGTCTTCTTAATTTATAATAATTTTTATATATCTTATATATTTATACATTTTGTATACTAATCTTTTTATGTATTGCAAACATCTTTTCCCAATCTATGGCTTATCTTTACACTTTTATGTAGGGGTTCTTAATTTAGATATAGTCTTAGTTTTTCTGTCTTACATTTTTTCTGATATGTTTTATATTTTATTTGAGAAGTTTCCTATTAGTCATAAACATACACTCTTGTACTTTAATAGTGTTAAAATATCAGGGTGTTTCTCCTCATCCATTTTGCTCCTTTGTATGTAATTTGTTTTCGTGTTGGGGTGAATTACGACTTAACTTTTTTTTTTTCAGTGTGAATAAACAGTTTTCCAAGCACCAATTATTAACCTGCCTTTTACCCCATTGAGGTAAAAGAACACTTTTAGCCTATTTTAAATTGCATTTCAAAGTTAGTTGGGCTGTCTTGCTTAATTGATTTTTTCATCAGCTTGTCGAGTTGTATGAAAAATCTTTTTGGGATTTTGATTGGAAGTGTTTAAAAAATTTTTTGTCTTTTACTAAATTGTCTTAGCTACTTTTTAATATTTTTATATTTTTTGGTCAGTTCATTTTTAGGTAGTTGAATGTTTTTATTACTATTAAGAATAAAAACTATTATTCCTGCTTGTCTTTTTACATAACCAGGACCTCTAGCACAGTGTTGATTAGAAATACTTAGTTTGGGGACGCCTGGGTGGCTCAGCAGTTGGGCACCTGCCTTTGGCTCAGGTCCTTATCCTAATGTGTCAGGCACCCTGCGGGGAGCCTGATTCTCCCTCTGCCAGTGTTTCTGCGCTCTCGCTCTCTCTCTCTCAGTCTGTGTCTCTCATGAATAAATAAATAAATCTTTTAAAAAAGGAAATACTTAGTTTGTATCCTTGTATCAACCTGGATGATCACCTGAGTAACTTAAAAAAAAAAACACTGATGCCCAGGTTTAATCCCAGAACATTTTTATCAGAACATCTGGAGGAAGACCCAAATATCAGCATGTTTTAAAGCTCTCCAGATGACTTTAATATGCATTCTTCCTTAAATAAATAAAGAATGCTAGTAAAGTTTTACCATTTGGTCTAATGTTTATGGTTTGTTTTTGATGAAACTACTTTATCAAATTAAGGATATTACTTTTCCTCCATCTATTGAAGTAATCAATATTTTCCTCCTTAATTAATTTAAAATTTGTAATTACATTGATAGATTTCTTTTAAGGAACCATCCTTAAATTTTATGGTTAAAATGTATCCATTTAGATGTGCTTTGACGTATATGGTCCATTTTCAGTCAATTTTTTTAAATGGTGTGTGACGGGATCCCTGGGTGGCGCAGCGGTTTGGCGCCTGCCTTTGGCCCAGGGCGTGATCCTGGAGACCCAGGATCGAATCCCATGTCAGGCTCCCGGTGCATGGAGCCTGCTTCTCTCTCTGCCTGTGTGTCTCTCCCTCTCTCTCTCTGTGTGTGACTATCATAAATAATAATAAAAAAAAAAAAAATTTAAAAAAAAATAAATGGTGTGTGACAAATGTATACAAGAAAATGATTTGGGAGCCAATATATATATAAATAGATCTCCAGTTGCCTCAGTACCATTTGTTAAAAAGATTATTTTGACACAGCAGACTCTCCAATGAACTCAGCCCAAGGCAGGGCTCAATCCTGTAACCTGGAGATCATGACCTGAGTGGAAACCAAGAGTCCTACATTTAACCAACTGAGCCACCCAGGCGCCCTGCTTCTTCAGTACAATATTAAATAGAAGTGATGAGAGAAGACATTCTTTTTTTCTTGATTTTAGGGTGAAAGCATTCAGTCTTTCTTCATTAAATATGTTAGCTGTGTTAGCCATGGGTTTTTCAGAAATGCCCTTTATCCGGTTGAGGAAGTTCATTTCTTCCTAGTTTACTAGGTGTTTTTATTACAAAAGGGTATTGAGTTTTCACAGCTTTTTTTTTTCTTTTTTGAGATGATTGGTTGGTTTTTATCCTATATTCTATTAATATGGTGTATTACATTGCTTGATTTTTGGATATTGAACCTCCTTTTCATTCTTAGGACAAATCCCATTTGGCCATGGTTGCTGTTGCTTTACTTGGTTTGCTAGTATTTTGTTGAAACTTAGTGTCTTTCTTATTAAGGAATTTTGGTCGGCAGTTTCTTTCTTCCTTCCTTCCTTTCTTTCTTTCTTTCTTTCTTTCTTTCTTTCTTTCTTTCTTTCTTTCTTTCTTTCTTTTTCTTTCAAGATTTTATTTATTCATGAGACAGAGAGAGAGAGAGAGAGAGAGAGAGAGAGAGAGAGAGAAAAGCAGGCTCCCTGTAAGGAGAGCTCAATACGGGACTCTGTCCTGGACCCCGGGATCACGCCCCAAGCCAAAGGCAGTTGCTCAACCACTGAGGCACCGAAGTGTCCCTGGTCTGCAGTTTTCTTTTGGTGTCTTTGGATACCATTGGTATCAGGGTAATACTGGTCTTATGTATTGAATTGGGAAGTGTTCTGTTATTTATTTTTTTAAGAGGGTAGGTGAAGAAGAGTGAAGTATTGGTATTCATTTTTTTTTTTTTTTTAAGTGTTGGTATGCTTTAAATGTTTGCTGCAGTGAAGTCATCTGGGCATGGATTTTTCTTTTTTGGAAGTTTTTAATATATTCTTTTTTCCTCTCTTTTTTTCTTCGTTTGCCTGTGATAGGTATGTTCACATTTCTGTTTCCTCTTGATTCTGTTTCAATAATTTCTGTATTTCTAGGAATGTTTGTCCATTTGTCCATTCCATCTACATTATTTGTTTACTTGTTTATAAATGACTTTTTAAAAATTTATTCTATTTCCATAAAGTCAGCAGTAAAGACCTCTCTTTTCCCAGTTTTAGTAGTTCAGGCCTTCTGTCATTTTTTTCTTGGATAGTCTGGTTAAAGGTTTATCAATTTTATTTTATTTTTTCAAAGAATTTCCTTTTGGTTTTATCATTTTTTTCCTGTTGTTTTTCTCTTCTCTTATTTATTTCTGCTTTAATATTTTTAAATGTCTTTTCTTCTAAGTACTACTGAATTATAATATGTAAGTTTGATATGTCATGTGTTTTCACTTCATTTTCATCAAAGTATTTTTCATTTTCCCATGTGATTTCTTCTTTGTACTATTAGTTATTTAAGAGTATGTCTTTCATTTTTCTTCTGTTGGTATCTAATTTAATTCCATTGTGATCAGATGACACTTTAGGATTTTAGGTTCTTCTCAATTTATTGAGTCTCTCAATACACACACAGAGAGGCAGAGACACAGGCAGAGGGAGAAGCAGGCTCCCCACTGAGCAGGGAGCCCACTGCAGGACTCGATCCAGGATCCGAGGATCATGCCCTGAGCCGAAGGCAGATGCTCAATACCAGGCCACCTAGGTGTCCCTACTTCATGTATTTTGGAGCTCAGTGGTTGGGCGCCTGCCTTTGACCCAGGGCGCGATCCTGGGGTCCCGGGATCGAGTTCCGCATCAGACTCCTGGCATGAAGCCTGCTTCTCCCTCTGCCTGTGTCTCTGCCTCTCTCTCTCTCTATATATATATATATATATATATATGTATAGATATAGATATAGATATATAGATATATCTCTAGATATATCTAGATATATCATGAAGAAATAAATAAAACCTTTAAAAAAAAAACGGCAGAAACCCTCTAGTCTTAAAGAGGTTTGGTAACTTCTTGGATGGGTGCTTTTTAGTTTGTTTTCTGGTTTTGGTTTGGTTAATTATGAGTTTTGAACTGGTTGATTTTTAATGTGTCCCTTATAGTTTCTTGTTTTAGAGAGAGAGCTAATTTGCCAGTATTACCTCTCCACCATTTTGGAAGTTGATCTCCCCCTATTCATTATTTTTCATATAATGCAACACTGGATTTGGTTTACTGGTATTTAGGATTTTTGTGAACATTAGTGATGTTTTTGAATTGGGTAGTATCCAGTCTTTTTCTTTGCTTTGGAATAGCTTGTATGTTTCTTTGATGGTTTAGTAGTTGTCAGGTCTCATAGGGACAGAGGATTGATTCTGCATTATTTTGTTGTTGTTTTAAGGATTCTACTGCTATAATGTAATTCTGTTCTTTTACCAAATACAGAGGCTTCCCTGCGTCTGTTGCATCTGCCTCAAAGTGACCATATGCATACATTTTGTTTTATCTTTGATAGTATATGTAATAGTACTTTGCAAAGCTTTTGCTAAGATTTTTGTCCGTGCTCTTCACTGCTTTATCTGCAGTGCCTAGAACATGTGTTCCAGATAAGTATTTCCTAATGTGAATGAATAACATTGTCTAATCTCTAAATATTTCTTTGTACTTCTCACTTATTTTCATCTCCAGTAAAGTCTGCCACTTCCCTCCATACTTTCATTTCCTTCCCATACTCCATGGTAGGAACTCAGTCAGTTTTAATGAATCTATAACACTTTTTATAAGTAAATCTTTATTTAATTGAATTGCTTTTTGGAGCCAATTCTTTTCACTGATATCAGTATTATTGTAACCGTTTATATGATGTATTTTTAAATACTTCTTGTTCTACCTACTTTTTAGGCCATGGACACAGTCATTCCCTTTTTAATGGTGTTCTGGATCAGGCCAATGGCCATGGAGATCATTGCCATAGTCATGAATTAAAACATGGTGCTGCACATAGTCATGATCATGCTCATGGACATGGACACTTTCATTCACATGGTGAGTATAGCCGAAATAGTTTCAAATGACAGCCTTTCATATGCAGAAATTTTGTATAGATTACTTTTTTAGTTGAAGTAGTCTCTTGAAAAGGTTTTGTAATCAAAAAGATTTTGTAATCAACTTCCTTTCTAATGAATCAGATTAAATGGTTCCCAGGGTTAGTTCATTTTTAGTATATAATGAAAATAACTCCTTATAATGCCATAGATATTGCTTTTTTTCAGTGAGTATATTGTACTATGTACCACTATTTTAAATGAGTGTCGGTGAATGAGAATTGCATTTTAGCAAATGAAAATTATAATTTTTAAAGTATGTAGGCCTTTTGTACTACTGATAGGCTTATAAAAATACAATAGGGGTTTTCAGTTTTTCACATTTTCATTGTAATTTTTGGTGAGTATCATCTGATACCTCTCTGTTTCCTTAGAAATCTTTGTATGCTGGGGCACCTGAGTGGCTCAGACAGTGGCTAAGTGTTTGCCTTCGGCTCAGGTCATGATCCCAGGGTCCTGAGATCAAGCCCCACATCCAGCTCCCTGCTTAGCAGGGAGTTGACTTCTCCCTCTCCATCAGCCCCTCCCTGCCGCTTGCTCATGCTCTCTCACTCAAATAAATAAAAATCTAAAAAAAAAAAAAAAATCTTTGTATACTACTTATATATAGCATTGAGTACTACGTTATAAGGTATTTATCAACTTAATATTTTAAAATGATATTTTAAATAATTCATGAAATTTCAATGTATAGCTTAATAAAAGCTGCTTACATACCACAATCTGATTTATCTTTTAAAAAATTATATGTCTAAGTATTGTCTGTACCTGCCATGTAGAATCCTCAAACTTTTGGTTTGAAAATTGAAAAGGAAAAAAAAATAAAATTGAAAAGGGTCTTGGAAATTGAATATTAAGTCCCTAATTTATCAATCTCTAAAATTTACTAATTTTTGTAACTGTTACACTGATATGTTTTATTTATTACTTTTTGTTTTTACTTTAATTCCAGTATAGTTAACATATAATGTTAAATTAGTTTAAGTTGTATACTATAGTGATTCAACAATTGTATACATTATTCAGTGCTCATCAAGATAAGTGGACTTTTAATCCCCTTCTGCTGTTTCATTTATCCTCCCACCCACCTCCCCTCTGGTACCATCAGTTTATTTACTAGTTAAGAGTCTATTTTTTGGTTTGTCTCCTTTTTTTCCCTTTGTTCATTCGTTTTGTTTCTTTTTTTCTTGAAAGAGCAAGTGAGCATGGGCAAGTGGGCAGGGAGAGGCAGAGAGAGAATCTTAAGCAGGCTCCATCTTGGAGCCTGATGAGAGCCTGATGGAGCCTGATGAGAGTCTTAACCTCATGACCTGAGCTGAAATCAAGAGTCGGATGTTTAATCAACTTGAGCCATCAGGTGCCCCCATTTGTTTTGTTTCTTAAATTTTTTTTCTTAATTAGTGTATGGGTAAATGACACCAGCATAAAAAAGGTTTTGGCAGTATTTCTGTTCCTATTTTCTAGCTTTATGTGTAAGTACTAAGAAATCTTAACTAGAAGAAATATTGTTTATAGCAGTTTCAGTCAATTCTTCGAACACCTTCAGAATTACATTCTAGAAATTACATAGTGATCTGTTATCAAAAATTATTTTTGATCTATAAATTGACAGTTTCATTAGCTAATCTTTGTATTGTATTAAAAAACAATTGGAAACCGTGTTGCCTACAAAAGGATTTGTTACCTAGTCAATAGAGTCATTATTTCTGTAACATTACCACCAATATTTGTAATTGACCCCTTGTTTGTTGCCCCAGAATTTTTTTTAGACCTTGAGCAGTGCATCGTAGTAAGATTCTAAATAAATGAGAGGTAGCTTTTTTTGGTCAAGGGAAAGAAGGATAAGGGGCAAAGAATTTATGTGACATCAGGGTACATGGAGATCATAGTAACTAGTAAAATGAAACACTAAGCTTCAAACACAAATCTGACTCTGGGGGCTCCTTGATGGCTCAATCCGTTAAGCATCTGCCTCTTGGTTTTTTTTGTCAATTGAGTGTCCCACTCGATTTCAGCTTGGGTCATGATCTCAGGGTCATAGGATTGAGCTCCTGTAGGACTCTTCATTCAGTGGGGAGTCTGCTGGAGATTCTCTCTTCCTCTCTATCCACCCTTCCTCCCTGCACTTTCTCTCTAAAATAAGTAAATAATTTTTTTTAAAAAAGGAGAAGTCTGACATCAAAATCTTCTCTTTTGCTATTATTTTTGCCTTCAGTGTATATTAGCCAATCTGAGGTACAAAAATAATAGGGCCATGATTCCATATTGCCCATAAAAGACATCATAGTCTCACCAGGAAAGACGATGAGCTTCTTATTTGTTGAAATGCTGCACTGTCAGTAAAGCTAACTGATTTTTTTTGTTTGCTTGGTTTAACTGCACGTATCTTAGTGACTCAAGCGGTAAAAGTTTATATATTGCTCTTGGGTTGATGGGGTAAAAGAGGGTGGGTGCTCTTTCTCATTCAATTCAGGGATCCAGGTTCCTTTTATCTCTGGGATTCTTGAGCTTTGGAATCCTCCACTGGATTCCCTGCATCTACCTTGAGATAGAGTACATAGAAGATCATGTGGGACATTCTTATTAACCTAGAAGTAGATTACCTGTGATATTTCTTTGCTTAATACTGTTACATATAACTCAGGGAAGTCTGGGAAATGTAGTTTAGTTTTTACCCAAAGAAGAAGAAATGGGGGATAAACACCTAGCCAGTCTCTACCACAGATAACAAATTTTATGTCTGAAAGGACCTTTCAGATTTTATACATAGGTGAGAGTTATATTATTTTACATATCCATTATTATAGTATAGCAGAATGTACCTTTCCAAATAATTCTGTCAAAAATTATTGTCTTTATCTGGACCTACTACCTACAGACAAAGTCTTGCCTTGATCAGGAGCTGGATTTTTAGAACAGTTAACACTTTTGACAATCAGCATGATTTTTCCCCACCATAGCAGTGCCATATCCAGATAGAAATCATTGTGCAGCCTTAGGCTTTTATGTGTCTTCTGGCATTGTTACAGTCTGTGTCAAAGCTGTAGTAAGGATATGTCAGCTCTTTGGTACCATGGGCCAAGAACCATGGCGTCAGGCAAGCTTTCTGCTAGACATATTCAGAAAACTTGTCAGTCTTCCTCATGATCTCAATATTACTGATCTTTTATATTATTTACCAATGTTTTCTGCTTTCATGCTAAAGTATCTTCAGAGTAAGTATAGAAATTGCAGTATTTTTAAATTTTTCATCATAAAGGCAAAATTAAAAGTATTTTTATCTCTTCTGTTTGAAAAGCTTACCACATCCATCTAAAAACTATGGGAAAGACCACATCCATCTAAAAACTATGGGAAAGGGATCCCTGGATGGATGGCTCAGCGGTTTAGCTCCTGCCTTCAGCCCAGGGCATGATCCTGGAGTCCCGGGATCAAGTCCCACATCGGGCTCCCTGCATAGAGCCTGCTTCTCCCTCTGCCCCTCTCTGTGTCTCTCATGAATAAAATCTTTATAAAAATAATTAATTAATTAATTAAAAAAAAAACTATGGGAAAATACTTGTTTGCCACAGTCCGGTTATCCTGGATATTGTCCTGGCATCATTTCTTGGCCTTCTTGTAACTTTCAACAGTGGATTTGTTTTGTCTGAGTTTTCCAGTTATAAAAGTAGTGTAGCAAACTGTAGTATAAGGTATGTTAGGAATAGTAAAAGGCTTTCACAATGTTTTTAATTTACTGTTTTTTATCAGATTGCTTGATATAATGATTTCCTAAATACTGTGTACCACTGATGCATTTTGAAATTGCCCATGTCTGTCTCCATTAAATTATTATATTAAATTTAAAAAATAATTTTATAAGTCTGATGTGGCTGTATAATCATGCATCCTTCATGATATATTTGAATGAAAATTTCTCTGAATTACAAAAATTGAATTGAGAATTGAAGATATATTTTAAAATAATTTAACTTAACTCTCTACAGATGGTCCCTCCTTAAAAGAAACAGCTGGACCCAGCAGACAGATTTTACAAGGTATGACAAGCAGTTTGTCTATTTCTCAGTTTTACGAAACAGGTTTCATTGTGTTGAGCTATCTGAAATGTTCCTTTAAGAAAAATATATAACAATATTTGTGTCTTAAAGTATTATCTTTCCTTATGACTTTGTAAATATATACTATTGGATATATTAGCATACATTCTTTTAACTGTCACTTGGCTATTTTCTTATATTTAATAATAAGATTATAATATTTAGAAAGTATACGGCTTACCTATAAATAATACCCATGCCAATGACTATGGTAACACTGTAATAATATATTTGCCTCCATAGGATTACTAAATATTTTTTCCAAGTTCCATATTCAGTATGTATTTATATTGTGGAAAAATTTAGAGGAAAAAGTATATAATGTGTTCAGACCCTTAGAATGTATCACCAGGAGTGAACTCTAATGTAGTTGGACTTTGGATAATAATGACATATCAGTATAATTTATCAGTTGTAACAAATGTACTACTTTGCTAGTGGATTTTGGCAATTTGGAATGTTATGCCCAGGACAGGGGTATATGGGAAATCTCTGTACCTTCTGCTCAGTTTTGCTATGAATGTAAAATTGCTCTGAAAAGTTAACTCTGTTATATTAATATTAGAATATACATAATGCAAAGTGAGACCTTTGTCCTATCCATAGGCATCAGATGATGATGCCTAAACAGGAGCTTACATGTCATGTAAAATGATAATTACAAAATTTTACAAGACAGAGAAAAATCAGTTTTGTCTGTGAACTATGATAGTTTCTTTTTGGGATATGAACTGATCTTTGGCTCTCAATTTCCCTTTAGACTTCATTATTCAAAGTTTCCTAATTCCCAGCACCTCACCTTCCTCCTTTTATTAACTTTTGACTTCAATCTGACTTTCTCAATAGCTTGTGATCCAAACTCTGCCTATTTTTCTCCACTATTTCTTGGTATAGCTCTTGTTTCCCCACCGCCACCCACCCCACCACCACTATGAATGTGCTCCTCCATACTGAGTAGTTTATTTCCGGAGGCTTAAATGTGTCTTCCAGTCACTAGTTTTCCGTTTGCAAAATATATAGATATGGTTCAGAACAGCATTTGCTGAAATAGCTTGTAATCATGCATATGTAATGCATCTATATCCAATGCTATAAATTAGCCTTGATAATATGAGTTTATTTTTAGTTTTGGAAATCATTACAAGTTGACGGAAGGGTGGTTAGATTTGCCTTCCTAATTATCTTTTATACAAGCTGTTAGGAAAATTACTTTATATTTTCTGAGTATCCATTAGTTTATGGTGGCTGCAGCCCAGTAGATAGCTCAAGGATGGGAAAACTGTCTGGCATTTAAAGTTTCCACGCAGATACTCATATGTGAAAACTGAGTTAACTGAATTTTTCAGTTATTTGCAGCATCTTCAATATGACCTCTGGCTAGAATGTTTTTGGCGGTATCCTACCCAGTCTTCTAAGGCTTTCAACTTGTATGTAAGTTAAGCATATTAGTTTAGACTTCTGACTTTACTGACTTTTCTTCTTGAAACAGTTACTAGAAAGTAAGAAGGGCTTAGGTAATTATTGATACTTGCTAATAAAGCCAGCTTTCAGGTGGGCATATAAGATGTAGTCAGGGACTTTTCAGTTAAAGAAGAATCAAGGACAAAAAATTCTTTCTTTTTCCTTTCAGTATTTAGAGCTGTTTTCATGCCTGATTCTACTAAAACACTGACTAAAGAGTATATAGGCTTAAAATCACTTGTCACTTAAGAGTTTTGAAGCTTAGGTACCTTCAATCCACTTTGATGGGCATTTTTCTTCAGTTTTATTTTTTTCTTAACTTTTTTCAGTTTTTTTTTTCATTTTATTTTTTTTTTTTCAGTTTTATTTTTTAAACTTAATGTGGTCTCAGCACTTGTTAGTCTGTTTAATTCTTTGCTATTTGAAATACCATAGAAGAAGAGTTTTTTTCTGAGTATGCTTTGGCATAATATTTTTGTTAGCAGGAAACAGAGCCATTCGCTTTTTGAAGAATAGTTATAAAGCTCAATAATCTATACGAATCAAAAAGTATATCAGGTACTGCGGGATGAATTATATTTGGTATAATACTTGATATAAAATTACACAGTAGTAGATGAAGTGAAGCATATTTTCCTAGAGCACATTAAGATTTTATTGGACCCAGTAATAGTCTGTTTTTAAATTATTAGAAAGTGTTTTCAAGTTTTAGTAAATCTGTGTTTTATGCCTAAATAATAAATGGTTTGTCTTTAATTGTCCAGAGAATAATGAAGAAGTAGAATAAATATAAAGTAGACATATGCTTTTTACACATTTCTTTTCAGATAGAGTAAATGCTATTTTTAAGTGTCTTATTTTTAGTAACATTGTTTAAGTTTCACAGACATTGTTTTGCTATACAGTAAATTTTACCTGTTAGAAATATAAATGTTGAATAATTTATTGCCTTAGTTAAGTCTTTTTAAGAAATAATATATTTTAAACTTCTTGATATTTTTTAATGGCTTTTCCAGTCAATTATTAAATAGATAATATTTAATCGGTTCTGATTCTAATCCTACTTCTGACCACAACTAGGATTCTATGCCCAATTCCAGAGGGGGAGTGAAAAATGTACTTTTATACCAGCAATCGATTCTCTGATACCTGGAGGTCAGAGGAGCCTGGGACTGAAAGTTCCAACCTCCTAATCATATGATTGGTTCTCCTAGAAGTTAGCCCCCATCCTTAGATGGGTCCAGAAGTATATTAACATTAACAAGAGACACCTGTTACTTAGGAAGTTCCAAAGATTTTCCAGAATATGTATTTCTTTTTATAAATCATATTATCACAATGTTATAGCTAGGTTTCAAGACAGAGTATCCGTATCCTTCGAATTTAATATTTATATTTACTTTAAAATATTCAGATCTATTTTCTTCCATATCAGATTCAAGCTTAGTGTATAATTTAGGTAACAAAACCTTCAGGATAATTAATAAGTATATCAGGATTTATAGAGTTACGGTCCATAGGAAATTTAGTCTCAAGCAGTAATAATTTTAATTACCAGCAGAGGGCTCTGTATGTACATGTATTTGTAGTTATAAACAGTTTCTTGAACAATTCTTTCAACCTAATTCAGTTTTACTTCTAAATCATTAATTAACTTAAGGACTCTTAACCAGAGATGAATGTGCTTAAAATCAACTTACTTTTGTACTTCCTCATTTATGTTATATTAAAATATTAAGGATCACTAAGAACAGCTGTAATTTATGAATCAGATATTTTAACCCCTGGTGATTTGAAAAAGGAAAGATTATTTCAGGGCACCGGTGGCTCAGTGGTCAGGTGTCTGCCTTTGGCTCAGGTTGTGATCCCAGGGTCCTGGGATTGAGTCCCACATTGGGCTTCCTGCAGGAAGCCTGCTTCTCCCTCTGCCTGTGTCTCTGCCTCTCTCTGTGTGTCTCTCATGAATAAGTAAATGAAATCTTTGAAAAAAAAAAGATTATTTCAATTCCCAGAAGTACTATTATTTCATTACTGAACACTAAACAATGCATCTACATTCTTCCCAATTTTTGGATTGGTATTTAGTTTTTTATGGATAAAATCAGGAATATAGTTCTAAGATGAGACGCCTGGGTGGCTCAGCGGTTGAGCATCTGCCTTCAGCTCAGGGCGTGATCCTGGAGTCCTGGGATCCAGTTCCACATAGGGTTCCCTGTGAGGAGCCTGCTTCTCCCTCTGCCTGTGTCTCTGCCTTCTCTCTGTGTCTCTCATGAATAAATAAATAATCTTTTTTTTTTTAAAAAGGAATATGGTTCTAAGAAATATTTATATTTTTCATTGATCAGAAGATACTATTTTAATTCTGATTATGCTTTGTTTCCAGGTGTATTTTTACACATTCTGGCAGATACACTTGGGAGTATTGGTGTAATTGCCTCTGCCATCATGATGCAAAATTTTGGTCTGATGATAGCAGATCCTATTTGTTCAATCCTGATAGCCATGCTCATAGTTGTAAGGTAAGGGTTATATGTTACTTTCAGGTATTAAAATGAAAGGTGAGAAATGTGCTACTTAAATTACAGATCTTCAGTACGAATTATGATTGTATTGACTTTCCTTTTGCCTTTAACAAATTCCTATGTGGATTATTTCTCTTTTCATCTTCCTATATATTTCTTGCCTAGGTTTTGATGTTCCTTTTGGTATTTAGCAATTAAACTTTTGAGTTTCTAACTCAAATTAGGATTTTTTTGAATCCAACATTCTATCTGTAGACTAGAACACTGATAATAAAAAATGTATTAACTATAGTTAGAATCTTATTCTGTATCTTACACTACCAAATGCAAAAGAATTTTAAAGTTTCTTCTACAACTATTTGATTTAGAAAGTTACATTATCATTGCAGAAGTCTTATAAAAATGTTTTTTGAGGTATATAAATATCTGTCTCCCTAATCTAGGTTTATAAAATTTTGATGAATGAGTTATCTCTTAGTTTATCTCTGTTGTGCTGATGTGTATATAAAGTGTGTGTTTGTATAAATTCTCAATAAATACTTGCTGAATTAGATGGCATAGTATCTCAAGTTTATCACACTCTGAGATACATTTTATTATTGGTTTAATTTTTATCAGAATAATGGAATAATGTGTGTCTTTCACAGTCTTGAATTATTTAATATATAAATTATATATACATATGTCTTGATTTGACTGCCTTTGTTTTATTTATCCATAATAATTTTACAGTCAATAAAATTTGCTTTCTAATAATAACTAGAGGGCAGACTGAGGATTTTTTAGGTTATGCTTGAATAGGATAGATACACTTAATTTGATGGAATTATAATCTTATAAATTAGTCATAAATATAGATTTTGAAGTTCTTGCCCTTAAAAAGATACACACTTTAAACATGGAGATTATTTTTTAAGTTTCTTCAAATTATTTGTATTTGGAAGCAACTCTGCTATGTAAAAGTCCTTTATAGAGTTTGGAACTTTATTCATCTTTGGAAATCTTTTTTTTTTTTTTTTCTTTTGAGAACATACAAGTGGTGTGGAGAGGGAGAATTTTTTTTTAAGATTTATTTATTAGAGAGCACAAGCAGGGGGAGGGGCAGAGGGAGAGGAAGAAGCAGGGAGCTGGATTAGGGGCTCTGCCCCAGAACCTCAGGGTCATGACCTAAGCCAAAGACAGTTGCTTAACCAACTAAGTTACCCAGGAGCCCCTTCCAGGTCTTCTTTTATAGGGTAAGCCGTCATTGGTGCATCATTGTCACCTGTCTATAGTTCACATTAGGGTTCCCTCTTGGTATCATACATTGGAGTGTGCATTGTTCACTCAGGCACCCCCATCTTTGGAAATTTTAACTATGCTTCCTTGAAAGTTCAGTTTACATGTCACATAATTTTATGAAGCTTAACTCCTGATAGATTTGGTAACTTCTATATCTCTCTATTTGCATATTTAATGTCCATTTTATTTTGTATTATAATATAGTTTTAGTTGCTTCTAATACTTAGAGGTAGATCTTCCTAATGGTTTTTTTTTTAAATTACTATACTAATTCTATCTATTGTTGCTTGGAAGAGATTGGCTTCTCTGTCTCTCTCTAGACTCTTCTGCACCCTGTGGCCACAGTGATCTTTTAAATGAAGATTATGGTACAGGAAACGTTATCTTGCTGTAAGTTCTTTAGTGGCACTTTCTTACCCTCAGGAAAAGTCTAAACTCAATGGGGTGTTATGATGTTACCCATTTATTTCTCGGTCTCTCTCTTGCCCTTCTCAATTTATATTCTCTCCAGCCATGTTAAATTACTTTCAGTTTCCTGAAAATATGTAATGAGCTGTCAGGACTCTGGGATTTTTTTTTTTTAAGATTTTATTTATTAGAGACACACACAGAGAGAGAGAGAGAGAGGCAGAGACACAGGCAGAGGGAGAAGCAGGCTCCATGCAGGGAACCTGACGTAGGATTCGATCCCGGGTCTCCAGGATCAGGCCCCGGGCTGAAGGCAGCACTAAATCGCTGAGCCACCAGGGCTGCCCAGGACTCTGGGCTTTGATCACTTTTCCTTTCCCCAAAATACTCATCCTGAGTGCCTGTCTCCCTCCTTCCACAAGTATGTCCATTGTAACTGCTCATCCTTCAGATCAGATTTCAGTTTTAACAGCACTTCCTTCAGGAAGCATTTCCTGATTGTCCACCTCTCAGGCTGGGTTAAATATACCTATAGCACTTTTTACTATTCCTTTCATGGCATTTACTTACCAAATTAAAATAGTTTGTTTATTCTCTCTTAAGCTCCATGAGGGTAAATTGTTTTTTCATTGTTGTAAAGTCAACACCAGACTCCATCAGGCAAAAAGTTTGTATATTTTAGATTTGAAGCAAAATAAATTCATGTTTTTTTCAACCTTGGAAGAATTATTTTCTCTGTTCCCAAATAGGGAATTCTTAACTTAGTTCTATTCCCATTCAGTTAGTCCATAAATATGAATAAATAAAAAAATACATGTACCAACTTTTTTACTGAAATAGAACATGTTTAAAAACCGCACAAATCATTTTCAACAAATATTTATTAAATAGGCCCTCTCATCAGAGTAGTGATACAATACTGCTTTAATCTTACATTGTAATAGGAGAGAGAGAGACAACAAACAAATTAATAAACTACACAAATATCAAGTAGTTATTTGTAGTGTGCAGAGAATGAAGCTAGGATGATAGTGATTAGGTTGCTACTTTAGATTGAGAGATAAGAGAAGTCTTCTGAAGAGGGGGCATTTAAACTGAGATTTGAAGGTTACAAGAGAGCCTGTCAGAGGAAGAGTATTCTGTAAGGAACAGCAAGTATAAAAGTCCTGTAGGGAAAACAGTGTTGGCCAATATGGTGGAAGTGGAAGGAGTAAGATGAGAGTGGATTGAGTGAGATAAACTCAGAGAGACAGGTCTGGGGAAATGAGCCAGGGTTAGGAGTTTGGGTTTTATTTTAATTGCAGTGGAAACCATGAGGAAGTGACATTATTTAATTCGTATTTTTAAAAATTACTTTGGCTGATGTGTAGATAATGGACTATAAGGGGCAAGAGGACAAAAAGAGCAGCTAGAAAGCTATTAGAGTTGATGAATCAGAGGCCATGATATCAGGCTTGGTCTGAGGTAGTCATCTAGGAGCTGGAGAGATACAGATAAAGTTAGAAAATGCTTTGGACTTAAACCTAATAAATATTTGCTTATGGATATAAATTTTTAGGTCAGGGTTGAGTGAAAGAAAGGAATCAAGGATAATTTCTAGAGTTTTTACATGAGCAATATAGTAAAGGAAAGTGTCCTTATGAAAGGAAAGACTAGGGGAAGAAAAATGTTTCTTTTTGAAGGACACTGCAGATCAAAAGGTCTGTTTTGGGTCTAAGTTTGAGATCTCATTAGATGTTTGTATAGAGATCTCACGTAGGCAGGGATGTACAAATGTGGAATTCTTGGGAGAACTCAGCTGAAGAGGAAGAATTGGAAGTGGTATACACATAGATTTAAAGCCATGGAGTGGCATTTATTTGGCATGAATCACCCCTTCCATTTTCCTTGAAAACAGCCTTCTTTTCTGTAGAACCCAGTTTAGCTCCAGGGTCAGGGTCCCTTTCAATATAGTGTTTTAAGCAGCCACAACCAACCAACTACAGTTGGCTTTCAAGATAAAACCTGTTGGGGACACCTGGATGCCCTGGGCTCAGTGGTTGAGCATCTGCCTTCAGCTCAGGTCGTGATTCCGGGATCCTGGGATGGAGTCCCACATCGGGCTCCTTGCGAGGAGCCTGCTTCTCCCTCTGTGTCTCTCATGAATAAATAAATAAAATCTTAAAAAAAAAAAAGATATCTATATATCATCCTTATCTAAGTCTTATTGGTCTGTTTATAAAGGTTTTTCTTACTAGTTTACATAAACATAGTTTCTAATTCATATAATTTGATTCTTTCTCATTATTGTTAGACTTTTTTATGTGTTGTTTTCCTTTGTTCTGATGGCAAAAGTAATACATTTGACTGTAAAAGACTCAAAACATTACTGAAATGTACAACTTATCTATTGAAATGTTCTCGTAATCTCACCTCTTAGAGATAAACCAGGAAACTTTAACCATACCTTAAAATCATTCAGTAAATGTTTTAGTGCATACTCTGTGCTAGGCAGTAAACAACATAGGCAAATACCCAACCCTTGTGGAGCTTATATTCTAATAGAGGTTATAGTCAATAAAGCAGATGAACACACAAATAATATAATGTGGTGGTGAATTTTATGAAGCAGGTAAGGGAGTGCTATTTTAGAAGGGCTTGGAAAGTCCTCTGCATAAGGTGACATTTGAACAGAGCCTTTAATAGTGAAGGAGAGGGGCAGGAGACTGTTCACAGGAAGATTAGAAGGTATAGGGAACTTCAGATAAACCCACTAAGGTGGGAACCTGCCTGGCCTGGATAAGGAGCAGTGAGGAGGGCAGGGTAGCTGAAGTGCAACATACAGGGCAGAGTATAGAGTATCTAGAGTTTGGGGAGAAGGTTGGAGTGGAAGATAAACTCTTGGGTGTCACCTGCTTATGTATGGTACTTAAAGCCATGAGATTGGATGAGTTTTCCCAGAGAATGAGAACCCGTAGAGAGAAGCAGTCTGAGGACTGAACCTTGAAAGGCGAGGCACAGGAAGTAACTCCATCCAAGGAGAGTGGCCATGGGTGGAGGAGAGACGCAAATGCACATTGTCTTAGGAGCCCAGTGCAGAAAGTGTTTCGAACAGGAAGGAGTGATCAATCCTGTTAAATGCTGCTGTGACTGGTAATTGTAACTTAGACAAGACAGTCAGAAGGATAATGAAAAGGAAAGCCTGTTCAGAGGAGCTGCAGGAGGGAACGGGAAGGAAAGAAGTGGGGGTAGTAGCAACTGTAGTCAACTTGTTAAGGCCTTTGCTCTAAAGGGCACAGTGTGATTGCCTGCCAGCGCTGACAGCCCAT